GTTTCCAGATGGATATGTGGAGTAAATCCATCTGGCGGAGTCAGGTTAATTTGTTCGACTCTTGAGGTCAGTCTCTCCTGCTGCAGTGCAGGTGATTCTGTTATTTTTTAACGGCAGACTGAGAGTTTGGTCTTGCTTTTCTGAGTCTCTGGATTCTTTGTAAAGTTGCTGCATCTTCATTGCCACCAACTTTTACCTTCGCTGGTGGTTTCAATGGCATGTCTGGGAGTGGGGTAACAAGGCAAACTACAATCATCTTCAGCAGACTGTTGTCCATCAGTGGAACCTTTGCACATGCATGACTTACTTCAATGGAGAAATGGATGAAAGTCATTCATCTCTCACTGGCTGTAGCTGCAGTGTTGATCAGTCTGACTACATCTCAGAGCTTTGGAGGAGGGAAGGTCACGCTTACTCACTGCCTGCTGAAGAAAGTAAAGTCAGAGTGGTGGGTGCTGCTGCCAAAGTCTCAAATAACCAGTCGGATTAAAAAAAAATCCTCTACAGGTGTCTGAAAGGAGTTTTTGACTCCTCTAGAAAACGTTTGCACGCTTCTACGAATGACATTGATGCAGGAAGAGGACCAAATGACGCTTTGTGGAGAGAGCACTCTAGTGGAATTCTCTGGTTTGATGAAAGCACCCGAACAAGAAAAATAAACTTTTAGTCTGTAGATTATTTCAGGTTTTAACTGAAGTGCAACACCAACAAACACGTTTCAATACGAAAAAGTTTAATTTCTGGGTGGTGACTCTTTCAAAGACTCTCATTTAACGAATGATGATAAAATATGACCGCACAATATTGCTTTAAATATTCATTTAAACATTAGAATAATAATAATAATAGTTATTATATCCTTGGATTTACAAACATATATGTCTTATAATTTTACTTATAATTTCATAGGTAGGCATTTTTTTTATTTCACTTAAAAATGTAAAGATTCAGAGATCAGGGGATTATTCTTTGAAACCCTATTTCATGCAGATAAACCATCATGAAACAAGGTTATAGATTAACATGAGGAAAATCACACGATTAAAAAAGGTTTGGCAAGATCAACAAAAATATATATTAATAAGAAAAATCAACTTTTCTTTATAGCTTTTTTAAATCCATAGACCCAAAATCTATAAAAGGGAGAAAAATGTGGGATTAGCTGCAGAGGAGTCTGGGTCGTCCATGATAATGAAAATATAAATATATATAAACAAATACCGATGAAAAATAGCTTTGTAGCTATAATCGGGCATTTATACATTTGTTTTTATACTGGTGTTCATTAATGTGCTTTGTCCCTATTCAAATAAATTAAAAAATAAAAATAATAAATGGTCAAAGTTGCTATTTAAGGCACCATCTTTATGAAATGTTATTGGAGAAAAGCCAGTAATGATGTAACAGCATAAGAAGGTTGGAAAACGCTGATATGAGGAGTTTAAATGTGTTTTTCTAAAATAATAAACAAAAAAATTTACTAAACAAAGAATCTCTTTCCTAATGGAAATTATTTTCATATGAAATTATGCAAGTTTCATGAATTAATAAATAATTTAGAGGCCTTTAGCAGATTTTTGTTACCAGAGTTGCTTCACTTTACGGTGATTGTTTGATAATTCGGCTTCGGCGTTTGGTCCCTCCCAGGAAAACAGAAACACAAAATTCCCCACGATGCAAATATTTGATTATAATCTGAAAGGTGGCAGATGAGTGTGCAGAGGAATTCAGACTGGGTTAGATATTACAAGGTTTCAATGTCAAGGAAGTCAGATTATATTTGTTTGGAGAATAAAAAAATATATAAATAGAATGTTTTAGTTTCGAGTTGAAAATATCCTGGTTTAACCTTTTCCTTTACAATAGAGGGAATATAACTTTGTTAAAGATTAATTTGCTAACCTTCATAATTCTAACAAAGATGTTATTTGCAAAAAAAAGTTATAAACAAAAACATTTTCTAACTTAATAATCAAGAACTGTTTGCTATAGATTCTAATGTATGCATTTTTCCAATAGATATTAGGGGGGTGCATTTGCACTGCCCTCATGATTCGATTCCATTACGATTCACCAGGTAACGATTCGATTCAATTCGATTCTACGATGCATCCCATTGACTTCGTAAAATCCGAAATGTGCCCAGATATCCGCTTTCCAAGCTTTTGGTGCGTTTTTAATTAGGCCCACCCGTCTATCGCGGTCATCTCCCTCCGCCTCAGCCATCTTGATTGTTGTTGGTTTGCCCCCGGAAGTAATTGAAACTTCACAACTTGTCCATTTGAGGCCAGAAAATAAACAGTGACATAATCGATTATGGCAC